GCGGGGGGGGGGTAGGAGGAGAAGGGCCGGGGACGCCCAGACCCCACCCACCGCCCGCATCTCCCCGCCAGAGCGCGTCTCCAGGCCCCGCCGAGAGGTTGGCATCTGCGCTCGCCTAGAGCGCAGGCCAACCTCGGGCCAGCCCTGCACACTCCAGTAGCCAAAAAGCCCCTAACCCTAACCCGTACCCCATCCAAATTTATTATTTATTATTATTTCATTTAAAATAATTTTATGCCGCCTTTTTACCCAACCAGGGCTCACAAAACAGCGATCATGGAAAACATCAAAACATTTCAACAATTAAACTACGTTAAGGTAAAGGTTCCCTTGCTCCAAAGCCAAAAAACAGGATCACGAAACTGTGGGGGGAAATCGGGCGAAGCCGCGAGTCAAAATGCAGCCCCGCAGCTTCGGGTGTGAAATTGACCAATAGTATCGGGGCAAACGGCGGTGCAACATCGAGGCAGCTCAAGTGCGAAACCAGCCCTGGTCTGCTTCCCCCTTTCTCAAAGCCAGCCCAGACCAAACAAAAAAGAGCGAAGTGGTGCTGAGGAAGAGTAAAGGTAAAGGTTTCCCTTGCTCAAAAGCCAGTCGAGTCCGACTCTAGGGGTGCGGTGCTCATCTCCGTTTCAAAGCCGAAGAGCCAGCGCTGTCCGAAGACGTTTCCGTGGTCATGTGGCTGGCATGACTACACACCAAGGCGCACAGAACGCTGTTACCTTCCCACCGAAGTGGTACCTATTTATCTACTTGCAATTTCTTGCTTTCGAACTGCTAGGTTGGCAGGAGCTGGAACTAGAGATGGGAGCTCATTCTGTCATGCGGCACACTCGGTTCTCGAACTGCTGAACTACCGACCTCCCACAGCCTGCAGTTCAGCGTCTTAACCACGGGAGCCACCGCAGTTCCTGCTGAGGAAGAGTACCTCATACCAAATGGGGCTTGATCTTCGATTCGTTGAGGACCACTTCCAGGATACGGTTGATCCATTCGTCCCTGTACGGATGCTGCTGGGGAGGGCGGTAGAGATCGAAGATGACCAGCTTGTCGTCTCGGTCGGCCAGCTTCAAGAAGTCGCTCAGTTGGTAAATCGTCTGCTCTTCCGCCCACTTTCTGTCGCTGTGCGACAGGGCCGGCATGTTGTAGAAGGGCTTGTTCTGCAGAGAAAGGGACAACCGATAAAGTGCGGGAAGACAGACGGCATTTGGGACAGGGCAACCTATTTGCTAAATCCAAGCCAGACGCGGAGAGGCGATTCTGACTTGCAAGAGATATGGAGCTGTGCCTAATTGGAATATTTTGATCGGGACCTCGCTGATACATGTGTATTCATTGTTTGTTAACGAAGACTTACCTGATCTACCTGAAGAAGGAATAGATCTGAAATGCTGATTATATTATCCGGAACTGTGTAGTTTCTACTTGGAACGGATCTTATTTACTACAAGCCACACTATACAGACCCCCTCATGGATCACTGCCTTGTCATGGCGAGGGGGCTTGCGCGGTTCGATGAAGCTGTGGGCTATGCCGTGAAGGGCCACCCAAGACGGACAGGCCACAGCAGAGAACTCAGACCAAGAGTGATCCCCTGGAGAAGGTAATGGCAACCCACTCCAGTATCTTTGCCAAGAAAACCCCATGGACAGTATCAAAAGGCCGGAAGATGAGCCCCTCAGATCGGAAGGTGTCCAATATGCTACTGAGGAAGAGCAGAGGGCAAGTACAAGTAACCCCAGAAAGAGTGAAGCGGCTGGGCCAAAGCCGAAAGGACGCTCAGTTGTGGATGTGTCTGATGGTGAAAGGAAAGTCCGATGCTGCAAAGAACAATAGACAGTGTCATCGATGCAACGGACATGAAATTGAGCAAACTTCAGAGGACGGCGGAAGACCGGAAGGCCTGGCGGGAGCTGGTCCATGGGGTCGCGAAGAGTCGGACTCGACTGTGCGACTGAACAACAACGACAGTATACAGGTGCTTGGACTTAAATTCAAGGACGTGTGATATTTATATAAACATTCCCACCCACCCCCCGTGTGCTTGTTCTATTTATGAAGGAGGTCTGCTGCCTTTGAGATATGCTGTGAGCAATGCTCCCTCTAAGCTGTGGAGTCTTGCGAGCAAAAATTCTACTTTGTGAGCTACTGCCATTAAAGTTGTGAGCGAGCGATTTGGCTCCTGCATAAATTAAGTCTGCTCTGGAGCCATCCTACCTGAGCTAAGACAAAAAACTGTGTGAGCCGGAGGCTAGAAAAACGTGAGCCAGCTCACACTAACTCAGCTTAGAGGGAACACTGGCGGTGACTTACTGTGGATTTGAGTTTGTGACCACCCACTTTGGGATAATTGTTCCTTATTACGTTTGTGATTCTACAATAATACATATACGAGTTTGGCACTATTATTGACTTTGCTTTCCGTGTAATTATTGTTGCATTTATTGAGCCGTGCTTTGACTACAGATTTGTGTGTGATTTCACTGGAGAATTCCGGGGGGAACCAACAGGGCTCGTACAGACGTTAATGAGGTATACCATATATGGTGGAGATGTACGGTGTCACAAAAATATTGGTGTAAGGTACACAAGATATATTGGAGCTGCGGTGGCTCAAGTGGTTAAGACGCTGAACTGCAGGCTGTAGAAGGTCAGTAGTTCAGCGGTTCAAGACCCGGGTGCCGCAAGACAGGGTGAGCTCCTGTCTCTAGTTCCAGCTCCTGCCAACCTAGCAGTTCGAAAGCAAGAAATTGCAAGTAGATAAATAGGGACCACTTCGGTGGGAAGGTAACAGCGTTCCGTGCGCCTTGGTGTTTAGTCATGCCGGCCACATGACCACGGAAACGTCTTCGGACAGCGCTGGCTCTTCGGCTTTGAAACGGAGATGAGCACCGCAACCCTAGAGTCGGATTCGACTGGCTTTCGAGCAAGGGAACCTTTACCTTTACCTTTACACAAGATACTATCAAACATTCTAGAGGTGGAAATACCTCTAACGCCGGAACTACTCTTGCTAAATATAATACCGTATAACTTTACAACGGAAGAAAAATACGTTATTATTTATATAGTCACAGCAGCCCGTATTCTGTTTGCTAAATATTGGAAGCAGGGGGGAATACCCCCAAAAAGTGAATTAGTTTATAAAATACTAGATGTGGTGGAAATGGATAAATTAACAACATTGTTACAAAATAAGGATGAGGAAATGTTTAGAAATAGATGGTTAAAGTTATATAACTGGTTGGACAAGAATTGATGTATGAATTGGAAGACGTTACGACTCCATACTATGATTTGATGTAAGACTTATGGATTATCTGTTCTGCATATTGGAAAATGGAAATAAATATAAAAAGAGAGTGGGGGGGGGAAACCAGGGCTCGTACAGACGTTGATGAGGTATCAGACTGCAGCACAGGCCACATAGATTTGGCGGGCATGAAGCATTTACCCCCATCTTATCGGGTTGCCAACCTCCAGGTGCGGGCTCGATATCTCCCAGAACTACAACGGATCTCCATGTGACAGTCCCCCTGAAGGAAATGGCTGCTTCGGAAGGCGGGACATTATACCCCGTTCCCTTCCCCAAACCCCGCTTTCCCCAGGCTCCGCCCCCAGAATCTTCACGAATTTCCCAACCTGGAGTCTTGGCAAACCTACTCATTCAAATGCGGTTCCCCAGTGGAACAGGCTTCCTCGGTAGGTGGTGGGCTCTCCTTCTTTGGAGGTTTTCAAGCAGAGGCTAGATGGCCGTCGGAAAGCCATGCCGATTGTGTGAACTGAGGCAGATCATGAGAGGGAGGGCAGGAAGGGCTGCCTCAGTGCTTAGTTCTCGTGGCCCTTTCTTACACGCCCAGGGAAATGCCGATCGCCACTTTGAAGAAGAAGAAGAAGAAGGAGAGATTGGATTTATACCCCGCCATTCATTACCCAAGGGTGTCTCAGAGGGGCTTATAAACTCCTTTCCCTTCCCCTCCCCACAACAGACACCCTGTGAGGTGGGTGGGGCTGAGAGAACTCTGACAGAAACTGCTCTTTTTCAAGGACAGCTGTGCCAGAGCTTGTGACTGACCCAAGGTCACATCCAATGTTCCCTCTAAGCTGTGGAGTCTTGTGAGCAAAAATTCTACTTGGTGAGCGACTGGCATTGAAGTCGTGAGCGAGCGGTTTGACTACTTGCATAAATTAGTTTGCTCTGGAGCCCTCCTTCCTGAGCCAAGACAAAAATGTGCGAGCCAGAGGCTAAAAAACTGTGAGCTAGCTCACCCTAACTCAGCTTAGAGGGAACACTGGTCACATCAGTAGGTGCAAGTGGAGGAGTGGGGAATCAAACCTGGTTCTCCCAGATTAGAGTCCGCACACTTAACCACTACACCAAACTGGCTCTCACCAAACTTTGGGGTCAGGAAGCCATTTTTCTCCAGGCCACTTTGGCCGGGGATCCTGGGTGGGTTTTTTTGCCATCTTCTGGGGGTAGAACAGGGGTCATTGGGGGTGTGTGGGGGGGAGATATTTGTGGATTTCCTACATTGTGCAGAGGGCTGGACTAGATGACCCTGGAGGTCCCTTCCAACTTTATGAGTCTATGAAATAAACTCACCCAAATAAGCCATGGTGTAAACATGCACCTTTTCCAGATTTCCATTAAGTATCAGCTGCGTCTGATAGGAGACCTCCCTAGCCTTTGGCTACGCTGCTGAAGTTCTATGGAATGCTTATGAATGCACCAGCTCTTCAGGAAATGAGGGAAAGGACAGCAGACACAGACTACTGGCACAGAAGAGGTGCATTTTGTCTCTGGGGTTTTTTTTGGGGGGGGGGGTATTTTTGTGGGGGACAGGTTTGGCCAAGATGGGATAAACAGGAGTTCTTTTTTTTTTTTTTAAGAGGAGGAGCTGTGACTAAGTCAAGGAACATCTGTTTTGCGTGTAGAAGGCCCCAGGTTCAATTTTTGGGCCTCTCCAGTTAAACGCATCAGACAGCAGGTGATGTGAAAGGTCCTGGAGAGCCACGACCAATCCTGACCTTGATCAGAGGTCATTTCGGGGGGGATCGCGGGGGATCGCAGTTCCCCTGGGTGAGGTACGGGGGGCGGGGCACATGACGAAGCCCCGCCCCCTGCTTCCGGCCGCCCCGCTTCCGGCCCTCATTCAGCCAGGAGGAGGCAGGAGAAGAGGGAGGGTAAGTTGCTTCCTCCCTGCCTCTCCCCACCCCTGCCTGCCTGGGGCCAGGGAGGGCCTTCGCGGGGCTTCCTTGCACCCCCGCTGGCCGTGCAGGTCCACCGCCGGGCCCCTCATGGGGCTCGGCAGTGGAGCAGCAAGGCCGGTGGCGGCGGCTGGGACCTTTGGGGGCGGGGGGTGTGGCCTTATGACACACTTCTGGTGATGTCAGGGGGTGTGGCATATGCTAATGAGTTATGCTAATGAGTTCCCCTAGCTCTTTTTCTACAAAACGACCCCTGACCTTGATAGAGCAACAATCTAACAAGAAGAAGAAGGAGGAGGAGGAGGTTTATATATTCTGCTGCACCCAGGTGTCTTTATGATAGCGTTGCGGGCAGTGTTCCCTCTAAGCTGAGTCAGTGTGAGCTAGCTCACAGTTTTTTAGCCTCCGGCTCACACATTTTTTTTTCTTAGCTCAGGAAGGGATGGCTCCAGAGAAAACTAATTGATGCAGCAGCCGAATCGCTCGCTCACAACTTTAATGCCAGGAGCTCAAAAAGTAGAATTTTTGCTCACAAGACTCCACAGCTTAGAGGGAGCGTTGGTTGCCAGGTCTGGGTTGGAAAATACCTGGAGACTTTGGGGGTGGAGCCAGGAGAGGGAGGGGTTTGGGGAGGGGAGGGGCCTCGGCACGGTACAGTGCCACAGGGTCCACCTTTCAGAGCAGCCATTTTCTCCAGGGGAGGCTGATCTCTGTCAGTAGGAGCCCACGGG